GATCAGTGACATGCTGTCATGACTCAGACTTGGAGTCTCCCCGCCGGTTCAAACACAGACAGTGGTCAGCACTAAGACAGGCTCTCATCAAACAGCACACTGTGTGTGTTCATTGCCAGGGAATCATAACGCAGAGAGGTTTTACATGGTCAACGTTTTCTCAACCTCTCCCTGATTGGTCCTCAGACTGGTGGCATCTGCAGTAATATCATGAAATGCATGGTTACATAGGGACGTTTGAATGAAAAACAGGTCTTCTTCTTGGTCTCTGCTGAGACTGCAGTGCAATCAGCCACATGCTTTTAGAATGCAAGTTGATCATTTAAAAAAATACTTCCCAAGAGTGTCTAGCTGTCCCATCCTGGGATTGTGGGCTATGTATTAAGGGAACACTCTAATGTGAACATACCTAATGTATAATATCTATATAAACCTACCTACAGTCTGGGGCATATGGACAAAGAGGGACAGTGGCACACTTTCATTTTTGAGGTCTGCGTAGGGTTGTGGCCATTGGCAGGGCTTTTATAAGACATTTTAGGTGATGTACTAACAATTTATGCAACTAAAATGTACCTTATGTACACAGGCTACTATTTTTTAAACACATTTATTGTAGCTTAAAGATACATTACTGGGAGTATTATTGCTGTGGAGCTCTGTTATACACTCAGACACATTACTGGGAGTATTATTGCTGTGGAGCTCTGTTATACACTCAGACACATTACTGGGAGTATTATTGCTGTGGAGCTCTGTTATACACTCAGACACATTACTGGGAGTATTATTGCTGTGGAGCTCTGTTATACACTCAGACACATTACTGGGAGTATTATTGTTGTGGAGTTCTGTTATACACTCAAACACGTTACTGGGAGTATTATTGCTGTGGAACTCTGTTATACACTCAGACACATTACTGGGAGTATTATTGCTGTGGAGCTCTGTTATACACTCAGACACATTACTGGGAGTATTATTGCTGTGGAGCTCTGTTATACATTCAGACCCATTACTGGGAGTATTATTGCTGTGGAGCTCTGTTATACACTCAGACACATTACTGGGAATATTATTGCTGTGGAGCTCTGTTATACACTCAGACACATTACTGGGAGTATTATTGCTGTGGAGCTCTGTTATACACTCAGACACATTACTGGGAGTATTATTGCTGTGGAGCTCCGTTATACAACCAGACACATTACTGGGAGTATTATTACTGTGGAGCTCTGTTATACACTCAGACACATTACTGGGAGTATTATTGCTGTGGAGCTCTGGTATACACTCAGACACATTACTGGGAGTATTATTGCTGTGGGGCTCTGGTATACACTCAGACACATTACTGGGAGTATTATTGCTGTGGAGCTCTGTTATACACTCAGACACATTACTGGGAGTATTATTGCTATGGAGCTCTGTTATACACTCAGACACATTACTGGGAGTATTATTGCTGGGAAGCTCTGTTCTACACTCAGACACATTGCTGGGAGTATTATTGCTGTGGAGCTCTATTATACACGCAGACATTACTGGGAGTATTATTGCTGTGGAGCTCTGTTATACACTCAGACACATTACTGGGAGTATTATTGCTGTGGAGCTCTGTTATATACTCAGACACATTACTGGGAGTATTATTGCTGGGAAGCTCTGTTATACACTCAGACACATTACTGGGAGTATTAGTGCTGTGGAGCTCTGTTATACACTCAGACCCATTACTGGGAGTATTATTGTTGTGGAGCTCTGTTATACACTCAGACACATTACTGGGAGTATTATTGCTGTGGAGCTCTGTTATACACTCAGACACATTACTGGGAGTATTATTGCTGTGGAGCTCTGTTATACTCTCAGACACATTACTGGGAGTATTATTGCTGTGGAGCTCTGTTATACACTCAGACACATTACTGGGAGTATTATTGCTGTGGAGCTCTGTTATACACTCAGACACATTACTGGGAGTATTATTGCTGTGGAGCTCTGTTATACACTTAGACACATTACTGGGAGTATTATTGCTGTGGAGCTCTGTTATACACTCAGACACATTAGTGGGAGTATTATTGCTGTGGAGCTCTGTTATACACTGACACATTACTGGGAGTATTATTGCTGTGGAGCTCTGTTATACACTCAGACACATTACTGGGAGTATTATTGCTGTGGAGCTCTGTTATACACTCAGACACATTACTGGGAGTATTATTGCTGTGGAGCTCTGTTATACACTCAGACACATTACTGGGAATATTATTGCTGTGGAGCTCTGTTATACACTCAGACACACCAACAATATGGAGCTCCTAGAAAAGAGGGACAGAGGGATCCTGGCCAAAAATAGGGTCTGTTCCTCCTAAATAGAGACACTTGTGAGGTCTTCACTCAACACATACAGACACCTCTCCAGATCACTTCTACCTATCACGGTTACCGGCGAGCATCTGATATTTGTTCCAGATGCAGTAAACATGTTGCAGTTCACACTAGCAGACAACAAGCTAACATCCTTTTCACGCTTCTCGTTTTAGATCCTGTTTAGATATTAGCAGCTAACCTGTTATTTTTAGTGTAATTGGTAGAATAATATGCTGAAGGTTCAGCTCTTTTCCACACAAACCTTTAAATCTTCCATTGTATGCATTAATTAAATTATTACAATTCCATCGTATAGATACACAAAGTATAAAAAAATCAGTAACTGCAAGATTTCAAAAATAAAAAGTTGGAAGGAGAAATTTACACCAAAGAGCTTGCAATCTAATTAATTCTATAATAATTCTAAATAATCCATAGACTAACTGTGAGATATACTTTACTAGAGGTGAAAGATGTGTAAGCATTACAAACATTTGTGAAAAATAAAAAATAAGTTTAGAAATCCACACATTACTGTTCTACATCTGGGCGCCACCATCTTAGCTCCCTGTCAATCATTGTTATAAGCTCCGCCCATTACACCTTGCAGTAAGTATAGAGAGAGCATACAGCATACAGGAGACATAAAACAATGTTTCCAGGCTGTGCCTCTTCTGAACTGGCTTATGATATTTGCTAAATCTTTAATATAAATTTACAAGAAAATAGAGTAAAAATGGTTATTGGTGATTTTCAATGGTTTATTCAATTACGTATTTTCCAGAGAAGTGATGGATCCTCTTTTTGATTACATGGTCAGTTGTCGGAAAGTTCTTTTGCTGCCTTGGGCAAAGTCGATTCTCTACACTCAGCCACATAAACATTGTAACCTTCATTTAAACACTACAGATATACATGTAATGTGTGTGAATGTATGTGTATGGAATGGGATAAAGGAAAGTAATTTGTGTAAATGCGTTTGCATCATAATCATAAGAATGATTGTGAGGGCGTACAGAGGTCTAGATCTTCCTCCCTGTCTCCAAAATTATAGCTGGGATGATAGCATTTTACATTTTGATGAGTT